AGCACCATCACAGACCTGCTGGCAAAACCAACTGCTGCCACAGAGAGGATGAACAAATGAAATGTAAGCATTCTTCAATAACCATCATACCATCAAATACGGGAAGAGGAAGGAGCCTGACAATACTAACATCAGCCCTTCTGCACCTCTTGCTATTGAGGGCTCACTGAGCAGCAAAAATGTATATGCAAAGATGCTGATTAAAAAAAGACAGGACATTACTGGCAGTTTCAGGTGGTGTGAAGTAGGCAGCACAGAGGCATCTTCTATTAGAAGCAAAGAACTAGCCACAGCATTTACTACAAGTGTTGCACCCTCCTCTTTTGATTCCTCGGTCTTCTTTGTGATTTTTATTTGCACACTTTCACTTTGATCATACTGAGGATTCTGTCTCTCTTATCCCATGGAAATTCAGATACCATTCTTTTTAGGGTAACACAGATAGCAAGGCACCCTTAGATATGAGTTCCCACAGCCACACAGCAACTGAATGAACCAAACATATCAGAAATATGTCTCTGCATACACAAATACTGTGCAAAACCAAAAAGATACAAGGGAGATGGGTAGAAGCAAACCTCAAAAGCAGATTAATTGGCATTTCAAAAAAGGAGAGCACAAGTTTTGTATAATGTATGCCAGTAACAGTTGAAGAAAGTGCATTTTCAGTGATCCAAAACAGTAGATCAAGATCCAATATATTTGTGAATGGCAATGGTAATATCAGCACTTCTTAGAACAGGCTGTCCAAAATTTTTTTTGACTGCAGTACAAATAGTCCTATGGTATGGCATATACATATAGATCAAGGGCAATAAACCACATAAAAATATACATCCACTGGAAATCGAGGAGGGGTGGAAAAGCCAGAGCCAACAACGGCCTTTGATGTGGTGCATTTAGAGCAAATTCATTCTGTCTTCCAGTTTAAAGAACATGTACACAACCAAAGGCACCATTACAGATTAATCCAACAGAGAATATCAGGAGTATAATGGCTAGACCTGTATATTACAGATCTCAAAGCCAAAAAATTCCTTTGCATAGCAGCACTGTGAAAATTGCATAAGTTCTTGAATGTTAGGTAATTTAGGCTTGGTCCAGAAATAACATAACTCACGGGGAAATGGCCTGCCTGCTGGGTTGCTGTAGATACTTGCTAAAATGCTTTTGAAGCCATTTGAATTAAATAATCCCTATTTACAGAAGCAATTTTTTAAATGGACAGCCGGAGAAATAGATCGGTGCTTTGAATGCTGCAGAAAATTATGTTGCATTGATTGCCAATATAATTGACCTCATCAATGTTTACAAATATGTAAGGGGTGAGTGTCAGGGGGATGGAGTTAGGCTTTTCTCAGTGATGACCAGTGATAGGACAAGGGGTAATGGGTGTAAATTGGAGCATAGGAGGTTCAAGGTGAATATCCGAAAAAATTTTTTTACTGTAAGAGTGACAGAGCACTGGAACAGACTGCCCAGGGAGGTTGTGGAGTCTCCCTCACTGGAGACATTCAAAACCCACCTGGATGAGTTCCTGTGTGATGTGCTCTAGGTGACCCTGCTCTGGCAGGGGGGTTGGACTAGATGATCTCTCGAGGTCCCTTCCAGCCCCTAAGATTCTATGATTCTATGATTCTATGATATAAGAGCCAACACCCTTACAGTATATTGTAACAGTGAAAGATAACTGTGTTGCTGCTGGAGAACAAGTCAAAGGAGAACAAGTTCATCCTTTCAGCAACATTTTAAAGATACACAAAAAGTCTATCACCAACACTGGAAAGACAAAAAACATTTAGTAGAAATGTTCTCTAAGTTTGAGGAATGATATCCAGAGGTTTTTAAGGAAATTTTCTTCCCCTACTCCTTCTGCTTCTTGCAGAGGCTCTGACTCAGGCCAGTTTTCCAGCCTTCAGGTGGCCTGCTATGTTGCATATGTAGTTAAGGTCTAACTGACTCATCTCTGTGTGTTTCTGCCCCACCACATTTCTCCCTAAAAAGGTCTCAGGGAAAGATTATGGATCCATCTCCCATCATGGGGCAGAATGATGCTTTCTGTCAATAGTCAGCTGATTCGTAGTGACATCCCATTTCAATGGGCAGCTGACTCCCTGTGTGCAAAGATTTTGAAAACTCCCTGCTGCTTTTATTTTAACACTAAGGCCCATAAACATGCAAAAAAGAGTGTCAGACTTGTTCAGAGCACAAGGAAGTAGAACCTGTAGCTGCATTAAGACTTCAGACAGCATATTGAGGAAAAATATTAAAAACTTATTTTAAAAACAGCCTTACAAAACTCACTGCTTCCTGACACATAATAGCTGACATTAATAATTAATACAAAGATCAGGTTATACTTCGATCATTTGTGGTGCTTGCATATGGGTTGTGTGTGTGTGTGCATAGACAGCCTCTTGCTCCAGGTCTTCCAAGGTAACTATATTTCCTTGTCAGAGGTAACTTGAGGGAACCTGAAAGTCTGACAGAGCTCTTCACCTTGTAGAAATAAGTGCAATAAAGCCATTACTGTGCTCCAGTAATCACAGTTGTGGGAACTAAAAAATTAATCACAGTATATTGGCCCTGTTACAGGTGCAGTGGAAAATTTATAAATAGTGTCATTGGGCATTTTATAGAATTGTTGTATGCAACTAGCTACCTACAGATACTTTTAGGCATCAGAACCACTGTCTTTAATTAGACGGACACAGAAAATCTTGACAAAATGGACTTGTCCTTGACCTATTAGTTTATTTCAAAACCTTCTGTTCATTAAACTTACATACATCAGGGAATGTTGTAGGTATTTGATCCTTTCTCTCTTATTCAACAATATGATATATGTCAAAGGCGATCAAAGAAACTGAAGGGAACTAAAAGATCTTCATGGACTAATCCAGGGAAACACTTTCATAGTTAAAATGCTTCAAACAAAAGTGCACCACCATTTTTCATAACAAAACTGCTTAAATTTACCATGAAGGTAATTTAAAGAAGTTTTATTGCAGTCGACAGTGACTAAAATTAAGAACAATTTTTTTACAATTCTCTCATATTACCCTTTCCTCAGCCTTAGGTATTTAAAGCTGCTCAGCTATATAGGCATTTGAAAGGTCAATTTGCAAGGCATTTTGGTTTGCTAATTTCCACAGTTAGCTAGAATCTTAAGCCATGTTTCAAATCCCTTATGAATCATCTCTAATTTTTTTAGTTCTAAAGAAGTTAGTGAAGTGCAATCTGTAAATTAGGGCAAACCAGAAAATTTGTAGTACTCTTGCTTTTTCACCCAAGCACACAGATTTTTGTCTCTTTCCAAACTGCTATCAATTTTCCTCAAGATCTTCTTTAAGAATGTCTGGTTTTGTATCTTTTCCAGTGATACCATTAATAACTTCACAATAACGTCTGAGTAAAATTTGAAGAATTGCCGATCTGTTTGAAGCCTTCATATATTGTTGTGGGCTTTCACCACCACTCACACCTAGAAAGGACCAGAAGTCTACATTGGGCAAATTACTCTGAGCATGATTTTGCCATGTACGCAGCCACAGTAAGGTGGTATTTCTGGCTCTAAAGCCTGCCTGTGCCAATACTGGCACGCCTGAACTGATACTACCATTGCTCAGGACACATGGCCTCCTGTTTTCTCTCTGCAAAACCAAAGTTGTATAGAGGAAAGAAGAGTAAGGCTTTAAAAGGAAGGAACAAGGTGTGGATTCTCAACATGACAGGAGTAGGACAGTAGATCACTATCAAATTAAGCACAACTCATTTTCCCTATATTGCCACACATACAATGAACGAAGACAAAAGCCTACACTCTCTCTGAAATCCTTTTTACATTCACATAGGAAGATGTGCACATTAAGGGATTCTGGGATGATTTTTTAAATTCCTTTGAACACGCTATGTGTCTCCAGAAGAAGAAAAGTTGCAAGACAAGAGCAGGCTGATGTTGAAGTAGTGCCTCTTTACTCCTTTTAACCTAGATGTGTTGTTTAAATGTGACATTTGTCATCATTAGCCCACTATGCATCCAGGAACAGCCTAGAAAAGGGTGCAAAAATTCCAGGATGAAGGACACTGTCTTCCTGAAAGTTCAGCAAGAGTCTGAGTAGCATCCATACTTCTTTCACACTGTGGGAAGGAACAAGCCAGGGTCTGTGCACATCATTCAGATGGCCCACAATACTGAGTCAAGTGATGGCAAAAACATACTTCCAATGCCATGTGTCTAGGATTTCGGGCACCGTTGTGATCATACCTCAGTGCAGTATTTCCACACTAGATGCAGCTTGTTGCCAGAGTGCAAGTAAACATCATAACCGACTGCCACGAGTCAGTCCAGGAGCAGTAAATTAGCAAGTGGCTCAGGCACTCTAGTCTGGAAGAGTAAAAAAGGAGTGTGGCTGCAGCACTGGGAACAACAACAGTCCTTGTTCTCTTGCCTTGAGTGAAAGTAAACAAGTCCATTGTTATCTGACTTTGCTAAACCTCGAAGTATAATGCTAGAAGGAAAAATAAGTTTTACAGAATTGAGCATATACAGCCTTTTCTTCCCTTCATAAATTGTATGTTACACTAGTTGAAACTACCAAAGTGTTTACAGTATGCTATATATATAATGGCACATTTAAGCTTTTTAAAGAGACTGGAACATTTGAGGAATGTACCTGGTGCTGAAAAAGGCTAACGTATTACAAATCATATAATATTTTAATTCAGAAAAAATAAGTTTGGGCATTTTGACCTAGCATCATAAAGGTTAGGAAACTGAACAAGGATGCCATGAAGCATGACTGACAAATCAGTCGAGCTAGTCTGCTTCAGATACATATTGTGCAAGGCATTATCTCTGCAATCAGTCACAAAAATGCATATTTAGTTTTTGTACATTAAATACTACACCTGTGAACCTATGTAAAAGATATACAAAATATAAATGTCATCAGGACTGTATATTTCAAACTTTTCAAAATAAACACAAAGTATATATATATGTAGGCATATAGGCTGTAATTTCAATGTCAACACTAGCACAGTTTGCCTCTTCTAAATACAGACCTGTATACTTTCTAGTCCAACACATGCACCTACAAACACATGATCATGCATACAGCTTTACGTCCTGCTGCTTGCAGAAGAGTCAGAATATACAGCACTGTACATTGTTTCAACTCAAAACTGATTGGCAAACTAAGGACGATGCCATTCAAAAGAAATCCCTTGTGAGCTATTATAAAAGAAAAAACAAACAAACAGAGAAAACCCGGGGTATAGTTACTTTGTCTCAATAAAAACACTGAAGACCATGGTGATGATGACCTAAGATTCAAAATGCTTTGTCCGGCATGTGATGGGGGTCACTCTTGGTCAAGATACAACTGTGTAGAACTGGTCGCTAGAACACATACCGAACACAGTTATGATGAGGTGTAGAGCTTTCACAACACCATCCAACCCAGCTCTGGGTTCAGACTACTGAGGTCTCTGACCGAAAAGAGACAGAGCAGTTGTACGCGGTTCTTCTCACAGTGGGCGGTGCTGATGGTGATCTGGATGCCCATCTCGAAGGTAAGCGTCGATTTGCTGGCCGTGCAGGCCGGGAGAAACCCTTCCCACTTGAACATTTAGCTGGCACAGATATCTAGAACACAAAGGCAATTCCTTGCTTTAACAAGTTATGGCTTTTCTGGAATGCAGTGGGAATGCAGGAAGACACTTGGGGTGACCTCAGAACAGGTGGTCTGAAGCTATTAAAAGGAGCTCAGTAATGCACAGAATGCAAAAGAACATCTATTTCTATGTGTTGGGATTCTCACATCAGTTGCAGTTTAAAATATTTGGAGACAAGTGTCAGACACAAGGAAAGGTATAAACTGTCAGGACGAGACAAAACTGACATTCACTTTTTTTTTTTTTTTCATTTTTTGGAAGTTTCTTTGCCAATGAACAATGTATATTGTTCTAAATGTAGAACTCAGAATACCATCTTACATGACTGGAACATTTTCAGGTATTTTTTCATAGATCCTATTTCAGCATTCACATCTTGCTAGGACCTTTGCTTCCATTAGTGCACTGTGAAGCTGTTTACACTTGGTAACTAATTCAGGATGGTTATGTATTAATGCAGTGTCACGCCTACCTGCAGAGGCTTATATACACAGGAAAACCAACAGGTTTTGATTGTAGCTACAGTGATGTTTATTGGAAATAATGAACATCTAGTCAGTACTTCTTCCCTACATACACACCATTTTGTTTTCCTATCAAAAGTTCATTGGATGAAAAAAGAAATCAGAAGCTTCCTGTTTATTTCTTTTTCTGTGCTGAAGTAAAGAGGTGTCTGCTAAGCAAGATATTGCATCATAGCAAGGCTGTCAGAAAGGCATGCAGAAGAAAATCTGCATGGTTGGATTCTCAGCTGTTTTAATTCCACATAGCTCCACTGAAGTCTGAATTTGTGACAGTTTAAAGCAGACCAGCTGACAGTCTGAATCCATTTAAATTTCTCAGCTCCAAATGTGTTTTCTTTCTCTCTTCTGAGACACTAAGGGACATATCTCGTTGTGTTCATTGGCCAAGGAGCTCCTCAGGAAAAATGATTTTGCTTTCTTTGTGGCCTTTTACAGAACCTGCAATTTATAGTGTATTTTCAAAACCATCTGTTTCTCTTTTCATTAAGAAAGTATGTTGGCAAAGGCAGTATTTCTAAACTTCTGCAAATAAAATTCAGCCAAATAAAAATTAGTCGTGCCATACTCCTCTGTTTCTGTGAGCCTCTGCTTGAATATATAGGAGAAGCATGGAACTGAGACATGAATAAGGGGAGGACACTTTATTACCGTAAACTTTATGGAGCTATAATATTAATTTCTTAGGCAGTTCCAAGGAAATCCTGAACAAAGCAGCATGAAGAATGCTGAAGCACGCTATCTAAGCCCTCTAGGATTTTGACATGGCCAAGTGTATTTAAGTCTTTTGGTAAGGCTTATGAACTAACTTGTCAGCTAAAGAAAGGAGGGAGTTAAAAACTGATTGCAGTTCTCACTAGTTCAATTCTTGACTAACTGCACTGCAGTTAAAACACAACAGCAGCAGAAATCAGAATCTGGCACATGTCGTCTCTACTGGTCATTTTTACTTACATGCTTCTGTCCTCCCGTAACTCCGTTACCTTCAGAGGAAATACTCCTGATTCATCCAGATTATGGTCTAAACTGTCTATTTTTACATAATTATTTACATTATCACATTAGCCTGCTTAATTTTAGAATCTGAAGCTCAGTGTGAAACTGTATGATTTTGTTCTTGTCATTCTCATGAACCTTACCTCTGGTAACTTCTGTCTCTCTTTTCCTTGCTTGAGTTGCTGCCCAATATGCCTGGCTGAATTCCTTGGAAATTCTTGCTTTCCTTGCTCAATCTGGAGCATTTCTAAATACTGACTCAATGTCTCACAACTCCCATCGGTGAATTTAGAATTTGCCTGTGTCCACTTATCTTTGCAGCATTTTGCATTACATGGAGAAGTCACTGTTGATTGTTCATAGTTTTTCAAAAGCTTTTCAACAACACCATAGTTCGACCTTGAGTCAGCTGAACGCGGGCGACCGGATAAATTACTTGGTCTCCAGTCATGCTCGTGAAGCATGTGCCTATAACCACTAGTATTTGGAAGTCCATTTGTTTGCTTTTGTTGCCCTGCCATCCTGGCAGCTTTGCTGGGGTTGCTGGTTTCTTGTTCCTTCACTGCAGAGAATTTGGGATGTGAAACACAAGGTGTATTTACAGTTTCTGGCCTGTTAACAGCAGAGTCACACAGTGAGCTGCATGGTTTGGGATCTTCTGTTGCTGTTCTAGGCACCTGGTTTTCCTGCAAAGCATTGTTATGTTTATCTGTGTGAAACACAGTCCTGTTAAACTCATCAATCTTTGCTGCTAAAGTTTCATTTTTTTGGGTCTTTCCCAAAGAATACCTAAAATCTTCCAAAAGGTCACTCTGCAGGGCAGTTGGGGCATAAAAGTCGTTACTGTAATAAGGGCTGCTGTGAGACTTGGGATTTTGTTTCTGGTGCATCTTGTTACTTTGGGCCATGTTTCCATCTGAACAACTCTTCTGGGCTGACAGCGGGAAAGGCTCACTCTTGTCTTTTCCAAGTTTGCTCATATCAAACGCCCATGTGTTGTGGCAGAAGCTTGTTTGTACATTGCACTCATTTTTAGTCACAGGTATTGCAGCAGTTACCATCACAGGAGCTTTCACAGGCTGCCCTCCATTTGCACAGGCCATTGCAGTTTCCTTCTGGTTTATAGATGAAGGATTTATCAGTGTATTTCCACTTCTACTTTGGATGCCTGGATCCCTTACTGGTGCTTCAGAAAGCTGCACAACTGCAGAAAGTGAGTTTGTTAGGTGCCGAGAAGTGCTCCGGGGAGGAACTGGTGGAGCTTCTTTCTTTTGCCAAAGTCTGAAGTCTGTTCCTCTGCCACCAGTAAGGCTACCATAAGATGTGTCCTTCAAATCCTTGGTGGAACTCATCAGATTCTTCCTATTATTGTGTTCCTCTGTTTCAAAAGCAACTGAAGTCTGTGCTTCATTGCTGGGCATGTGGTTCATCTCAGGCAGAATAACTGTGTTTTTTGTTTCTTCAAATTCCCCCAGGAAAGGAAGTGACTTCATTCTGGGAATAAAATGAAAGGTGTTTTAGGGATGAGCTGTAAGGGTTGTCCTCAGGGGACCTCAGCAAGGATTCATTATCCCCGAGAGCAGGTATTTTAGCACTGGCTGCTTAAAAAGATTTGGGAGCCGTTTTGCTGGAGCTGATATACTCAACATATTTGAGACGTACATGAAGATTTTGAAGAAAGTTCAACAAAGGGAACTTTGCATTTCTTTCCCTTGCCACTAAAATTCTTTGTCTGAGTTTTTATAGATGATTGCTTGTTTTCTTACCTATCCTACCATAAGGATAGTGGGATTTTGTGAGTTCTAATGACTCCAGTGAGTCTACCTGACTCTGAACTGAATGAAAAAGGCTTTAGGACCTGATGCATCCCTTCAGTAGGTTTCCTAACATTACACATGACAGTACAATTGTGTCTTTTGAGATCTGTTCAAAAAACATCTTCCTCAGTCAGGATTTAGAAACTATGCATCAGGTGTGAATCGATTTGCTTTAAAGAGACAAACACTAACCTAGCTACAATCATAAATTAGTAACAGACAGCCAACTGATTGCATGGGGGGTGCAAGAAGTCCCTTTGTTCTTCAGGAGCACCTGAGAAGAGCTCCCAAAGATGCAGACTTCCTTAGGGTCTCACCATAGCTGAGACTCAGCTTTTCTTAGTCTCTTTCCTGATGTGCACCCTGTCACACCACACGTTCAGTCTCACCTGAGAATTTCTGCACAACACAAGAGGAAGACTGGTGTTTTGCTTGCTAAAGGAGACAGTGAACATCACTGAATTTTTTAACAGATGGCGGAGAGTTCATTTGCCATGCTTTTCAGGGTCTGGCTTACCATCTTTGCGTTAGTACAAATGTATGGCTGTTCTACCTTCTCTTGCCTTCTTTGCCCTCTTGGATTGTCAGTCCCCGACACATCCCTCACACTTAAGGCCAGATGTGGGTTTCATGTAAGAAACCTCCCAGTCTAACAAACTCATTGTATTAAACAAGTACAATTTTATCTCATATAAATATTAATTTAATTTTGTAGGTTCTACAGGTAAACTCCGTTTTGATGGAGTAAAACATGCTCCTGTATCATATATCAGTATATTTCCTTCAAGTGTTTTATGCCGAGCACTGAAACACTAGGAGGACAAGAACTGCCCAACTCCTAATATATTCAACAGCAACCCCCCTTCAATGTGAACAGGAGCACAGTCTCATTATTAATTTTCTTCTTCTAATATAAAGAGTTCAAGTATGTTTTTACCTTCTGTGGTTGGACTTCTTTCGAATTTCCTCCTGATAGCTGCATAGTTCTTCACTGACTCTGGCAAGTTCTTTAAGAGCCTTTATAAATACAAAAAAAATTATTTAACATAAGCCTTTTAAGTGGTATCTCCAGAATTATTTTGAAACTTGTAGTGATTTGCATTTAAGACTCACAGCAGAGGAAAGCAGCACAAGGGAAGACATAAAAATACATGCAGGTTAAAAACAGAGGTGAAGAGCATGCTGTTAACATATTTAACAGTGAGAAGACACACGTTAATAGCAAACTGAGGAGGAAGTAGAGACAGTGCCTTGCTGGAAAGCTAAAATCTGGGAGACCAGTTCTTTAAGTTAACCTGACAAGCCAAAGCCCTCAGTATTTTCCTCACCCTTGTAAACTGAAACATGCTTGTACTTTACTTACTACATTGAGATCTCCAATATAATTCTTGGTGTTTTTCTTGGAAGTGTTGATGCTGAAGCTGTCTTCAGGTTCCTCATGGTTCTCAAAGGCCAGATTGTCCATTAACATAGTATTGTTTCTGCTCTTGGCTCTCGTTTCGCTACATTCATGTCCTGTTTTATTGAGCAAACTCCCTTTTTCCATCCTATCATTTGCCACATTGTGTTGACAGTTCAGTTTTACTGCGTTCCTCTCTTCTGAAGTACGGGAATGCATGGACAGCTGCAGCATCTTGTTCTGAAAGACCTTACTATCATGGATGTTCATATTGGTCTCCCTTCTAAGTTTTACCTCCTGGTAAAGCTGAAAAAACAATAGAACCTTCTATTAAATCATGGTACTGTGATAAAATTTATGGTTAAAGAACACAGTCATCTTCTGTTTTGAAAAATGCTACACTCAGTAGTACCAAGTAGAAAGGTTTTAAATGTATGCCAGTAGAAAAGTGTTGAGCCACACAGTGTGATAGTTCACAGACCATTTTTGTCACAGGATGAGGAAAGAGTTGGTGGACACAGCCCTGATCTGATGGATGGGGAATGTGAGGGAATGTGAGGGAGGGAGAGGGCTCTGGCTATGTTACAGCCAGCTAATGTATATTAGTTTAAGGGGGGAAGTGAAGCCTCATCATATACAGTGTCACTGGCATGAGAGCAGACTCTTCCGCTTCTCAGACAAGTGGAATTCTTCCCTCTGACTGCAGTGATAAACCAGTACTGCAGAAAGGTATTATTTGGCAATGTGCTGACAGCCTCTTCTTTCATGCTATCTGCTGAGAACCAGTGGCTTCATTAGTAAATGAAAAAGTGTTAATTCCAGTGATAAAATATTAATTAGAAAAAATAGCAACATCATAAAAAACTCTTCTGCTTACAGTATCATTTCTAGTGCCAAGAATCCCACGGCTCTTTTTAAACATTCATTCTTTACTTGCTCTTAGGAAGCAAGCACAGAGCAGGCACTCCTGAACAGCCATCTGCCTGCTGTCTCACAGTGCATGAGACCGACACAACAACTTTTGGAAGGACAGTGAAAAGCAATACCAGCATGAAGAACATGTGGGCATTTAATGGGTAGTGCTGTGGATTACAAGTATTCTCACATTCAGAGAGTTGACATTTGGACTCATCCTGGGCCTTCAGATTTCACTCCCAAAGCTCAGCTGCTCAGGGAACCTGAGGGTGGAACTTTGTAATTTCCAAGAAATGAGGGCCTCAAAAGGACTCAGTGTAGCAGTAAGGAGGAAGGCTAGTGCCTTTTAACTAAAGTATATAATCCCTTAAACCACACAGGTCTTCCTGGAGGATTCCAAGAATTGTTGGGTTTTGGTGAGCTAAAGAAAATTATCAAATAAAAATACAAGATGGTAAGTTAGCACAAGTTTTAATGAGCAAATCCCTCTCAGATGCTGGCATTTAAAAAGTATCTTCCCTTTTCTCCAGCCATGTTGGTGAAGAAATGTTAGACAACTGAAATCAAGAGCAGCTACAGACACAGCTTAAGAAGGGACCCAAGTTTATGGATAACCCTGGGGTATCATCTGCAGTTGCGTCTGGTCCTGCAGTACCCAGCAATTTGGTTCATTCTCTTTTCCTCAGATCCATTCCGTTCTTTATTTTTTAGACCTTCTTAATGCATACGCTAATAAAAATAAGATAAACGTGGTCTTTGCCGCCATTGACAGGACTGCTAATAGGCAGAATATCTTTTCACAACACATTACTGTCATTCCAAAACAGCTCATACACCTAACTAACTGAAATGCAACTTCACACACAGACTGCATTACTAACTTTTGTAGCACTCTCGCCTTGGTGACAAAATTAGGCAAAAGAGCACAGAAATGTCCTAACACAAAGTACAAAATGTGGCTTTCATAATAAGGCCATGATACCGATGTCTGCCAGAACTGCAAGCAAAATATAAGAGAGCTGATGCTACGGAGTTATGTTGGTTCAATGGAGGGTGTATGGCTGCAATTCATTTGGCTTTGATAATTTTCCTTCTTATACTTTCATGTGAGCAATCTCTGCCATACATTCCTGTGTTGCTCAGCCACAGGATGGTGTTGGCAGAGACCAAGCAAAACTACTCCGTGTGTATATTAAAATGAAAAATGTGGAAAGCTCAGGAGTGAAAAATTTGCTTGTATATCTTGCCAAGGTAGATTCAATTTATTAGAGCATCAGAGGGTTCTGCTGCAGTGACAATTCAGGGAGAAAAGAATAAAAAATAATCACCTAAACTAGTTTTGGAAGGAGATGTGTTAGAAATGGCAGAGTGTTTGTTTCTATGTGTAAACACTAGTGGTGTTAGGACTTTCATGCTATTTACTGTAGCCATTTTCTCTACTAAAAGCCATCCATAAATGGAGCAGGTTCTAGCCAGAGTGATTCTGCACCATGCAGCATGCAATGTATGATGTTCTTTTTAGTATTACCATTTACTTGTGCCATACACACTTGTGCCATGGAATTCCTTTTTAGCAGAGAGTTAGGATACCCAGATTTTTGTTACTAAATGGGTATTTTCCTAAACCCCATATATGCAGTCATTCAGAATATCTATGTTTGAAAAGGACATGCATAAAATGAGCAGTGTGCCTCATAACCAGCAAAACTGGTAGTATATACAGCTAACAATATCATAGCAAACTTCCCACAAAGTGACACTTAACCTCCTGCTTTGTACATACGAGTATTCATTAAATGAGCAGTTGCAAATACTGCTTAACCCCAGGCTTTACATTCTACCATCAGCTATTAGAAAATTCCAGTGACAGATAAGAAATAGGATATAATTCAGGAAAAAACCAACAATACTGAATCGGCCCCTAGTCACTGATAATACCCAAGTGAAAATGCTAGTGTTCAGAGTTTTGTTTAAAAGTACCTCTTCTATTTTCTTCTGCATGACCTTCCATTGACATTCCCATTCTTTCCTTTCATTGTCAAATCTCTCCAGCAATTCCATCTTCTCTTTATTCCAGTTCACCTCAGTATTCTCCAGTTGTTTACGCAGGTCCATGGTTACAGTCTGTGTAACAGTAAGAAGATAGCTCTGCTTTTTTTCTTTCTTCCCTGAATGTTTCCTGGAAGTTTTTCAGAATAAGTCTTGTGATGGATTTGAGCTTTCAGAGAAAAATAAACACCAAGAAACCTCCAAAATAATTAACAGAAATGTGCTTGCAGGAAACAGCATCACACAATTGCATGCTATGTATCTGGAGTGTGACTGGAATATGGATGGACTAAATGCTCTAGGACACAAATTCAAGGGCAAAGAGGCCCAATCTGGAAAGGTGAGGAGGGACATGCATGTCATGGAATTCAGGAATGTCTACCACAGTGGGCTCTGTATCATGGCCACTTTACATCTTTACCATTAATATATACCATAAACCTGTTTTCAATGAAATTCGAGTCTGCATGATATTGAATGGCACTTCAGGACTTTGGGATCCTTCAGTGTGTGCCCTTGAGGTTGAAAGCTATTTTTACGTTTGTTCAAAAGACAACTGCAAGTGTAAAGGTATCATGTTTGCTCACACAGTCCTTTCATTCACACACGTAGCACAACAAAGGCTGTGACATTCTTTTGGCGACTGAAGACTGTACACTTGATAATGCAGAAAATTCTCATGGTTATATGAATGCTTTAGAATATATGAAGGAAAACAGGAGAGGCAAGGTAACAATAGGTAGCAAATATAAAGTAGTAACCATCATTCTACTATACGAAGGACTATAGGTCACTATAAAGAGTATTTTGGATTTACAAATCTAAATATATGCATGTTAGTTCCAAGACCAGCACAGGGAAAACCAGAAACTACTCTTTAACAGCAGTAACTAAAACTTAGTTCAAAACCTTGCTCATAATATTTAACAAATTTGTGCTTCTGTTTCTCCTTCCCCTTCGAAGTCTTTAGCATCTTTGTGTCTGTGGACAAAAACTTTTTAATTTGAACCACTTAATGCATATATTTTAAGGGAAATATTTTGATTCTGTTCATCTGGTTTTGGAGCAAAGCAGTTGCAGATTTTATGGGCCTGGTGTTCCTCCTGCTTTCTTAGTCTTTATAATAGATACTTCACTACCATCGGCACATTTACTGTGCCAACAAGGCTGCAGTAACACTCATTTGTCCACTTACAATTTCTTCTGTGGTATAATGGCTGGTACACACACACTGACACAAGTTTGTTAACTTTGGCTCTCAAAGCTAGCTGTTGTGTTACCTAGGTGGACAGAGAACCTAATTCTAGTGACCAAATGCCTCTGCATTGCTTTGGTCTCCTGTTAGAAACCAAGCCTATGGGCAGGCAAATGAATTATCAGAGAGTCACCTAAGTGTAAAACCAGTTTACCTTCCTGGAATTTCTTCATTTCCCTGATGGTCCATGATTGTCAATTCTCAGGAACCTCCCATTTTATCACCCATGTTTTCTTCGATATAGTGAAAATTTATTCTTGAGCTTCACACAAAGTCCTTTCCCATCCTGTATTTTATTGGACAAGTCCTGTTGATTCAGCTGTGGCTACTGTGCAATCACTGCTTACCAGCGTCTGCGTTATTTCAGCTGGCTGGGAACCTGATGCCAAACTTGGAGTCAGCTTCCTTCATGAACAAGTAAGCAGCAGAGCTCAGCTGAAGCCAAATGTGTTAACTCAGGTATCTCTGTCCTGGAAGTCCTGCTACAAGATCTCTCAACTGACAGCCATCATGGGCCCAGTCTTAACTCAGGGTTTGCAAAACCATTGATCCCAAGCAATTTTGGACTGTGCCTTAAAACCTTCAGGATAGCTTTAAAAAAAACCCATAAAACTCCCTGAAACTATGAGTTGCTGAAAGACAGCACAGCATTCTCACAATTAAGGTCAAGCACTGGTTTGCTCATGGCTTCTTCAGGAAGGCAGCCAGGCTGTAGGAACTGTACCTCTCCAGGCCAACGTTTCAGCTTTGTGCCAGACTTCAGTAAGTGTTGACCAAAAGCAATTTACAAAAAAATTCCACTCAATTTAAGATCTGTTGCAATCTAGACATCTATTGCTAATGCACTTTAAAACCATGCCAATACTTTCTCACTTTTCTAATTTTTAGTACATTTACTTTTTTTGCCTATTTTTTTATTTGCTACATTTATGTCTTTATAACCTTTCAAGATATCTCTGAGAAATAAACAAGAGTCAACTCTCTGCTCCACTAGAATCCTCCAAATACATGTGAGAAAGAAATAGAAAAATAAGACTGGAAGCTGTAAAATCATGAACAAGACAGGCAGGCATAATCTGTCTACAACTTGCAGTAATGGTGATTTTGCTAGTACACTATTAGTAATAATGATCACGCATCAATTAGCAGCATATTACTAGAAAGCAAATCAATACTACATACTATTTTTTTTACACATATAAGAAATAGAAATATAATATCTATTCCTTTCAAGCATGCATATAGTATTGAAAAAGCCTCTGGTGGTTTCTTAGTGCTGGGAGCTCCTATTGTACTTTTATTTACAATTCCCACGTTGATTCCTATGGGACTCAGATTATAAAAGTAGCTTGGAGACCATCGAAATAAAATCAAGCCTTGGAAGAGGTTAGTTACAGAAGTTACAGATAGTCACTTGTAGCTCTAACATCCACAGAAAATTTTGTATGGCTTCTTATGTTTATCTGATTTCCTCTTGACACAAATTCTGAGAAGAAAACTCATGTTTATTGATGTTAGCAGCTGGGTGACTACACAGTTTTGTTGTTATTGTGCAGTGGATGAATTCCTCTGAGAATTTTAACTTCTATTTCCATTATTCCTTTTTTTTTTTTTTTTTGAGGGGGGTGGTGGGTCTTGCTTGCATTTTTCTACTAGCAAAAAAATCCAATCTGTAGTCCTAGTAGTACTCCCTCTGTGTGTAGAGTGCACCAACATGTCCTCATGGGTATTTCACATGGCTTAAGCTTAAGCAACCCAAAGAGATGTGAATTGCCACATTATAATTTGCTGTATGATCAGAACAGTATCTGTGCTGTTGCAGTATTGGCACTTTCTGCATGTCCCAGACAAGGTCAGAAGCTCATTACAGAAATCAAATTCAAGCAAATAATCAATTTTGTCTATATCAGCTGCATTTCCTCTTATCTTTTCCTTTAGCCCTCCCTCCTCTCAAACAAAAAAAATGTTTATAAGCTTCTATTTGATGTAAATGTCATTATTACCTCATGTGTCACTCATGTCCTTTCTATCCACATATTAAAAATGCAAAATAGTTTGCAACCAGCCTCTACCAACACTGAAAATAATCTGCAGTTACATCAGGTGAGACATTGTCAAGAAAGATTAACTAGATTAAGTGTTCACAACCATTCAGATACACAAATCTTCCCTTGATTTTATGGAGAAAAAATAATGAAAATATACTTCCAACTAAGTGCTGTATTTTGGATCAGTAACGAAATTTCATATATTTGTTCAATTATAAAAGTGTGTCATGTGTCACAATACTGTGCACTTTGTACATAACAAGAAAATACAGTTGAGAGAAAAGAGAGAAAGAGAGAGAGAAAGAAAGAGAGAGAGAAAGAGAGAAAGAAAGAAAAAAAAAAAAAAGAAAGAAAGAAAGAAAGAAAGAAAGAAAGAAAGAAAGAAAGAAAGAAAGAAAGAGCCTAGTGCTTACAATGCTACCTGTCATCTCTGCTCTGTTGATATTTGTGCCTGCTCTGAAGAAACTGACTGAACTAAGGCAGTCTTTCTCTAAGAATAAAGACCATATATAACATAAATTAACACCAGATTACATACAAATAAAGAGAGATGTTTGCCACATTAGGAATTTGCTTTCCTTTTTTTTTTTTTTTTTTTAAATGTTAACTATTCAAAAACACTGATTTAAAATAAACCATATCCATACCTTTCATGGAATAAGAAATCCTTTAGAAGTTTTTCAGTCCATTTCTAAACAGCAGTGAAAGCAATGAAATGCACAGCTAGTCGTGATCCAGTTCTGTGAATCTTGATCTTGAAAAGAAATAAGAAAGCTGAGCAAGACACAACCTTTCAACTGGGGCAGCACTTGCAACTCTCTTTGAATAACTCCATAACTTTTCCAAACTGAAAACCAGTTCCGTTCAGCATCACCCCAGCAGCTGGCCTCCACGTGACGTCAGTGCAAGGAGGATGGTTTTAAAGCCATCTCTTCCAACCCCCAGGCTCTGTAATTTTATATCTCCTTATATTTTGTGTAAACAACTCCAAGTCCAGGACATTTTTAGGCTTTATAGTGCAGTCCAGACTTTAAAGCTTGCCAAAGCAGCTAGTGTTAATAGTAAAGCTATGACAATAGGCAATTTTAGGTTTCTTTTATTAGTGTCCATGCTGGAAAAGAAGATTCTTCGCTGCCTTCCAGACCCGGTTTTAAGGGTTATATTTTTTATACGATCATTTTGAGCTTTGGAACTTGATCCTCATAAACTGCTTTGTAAAGGGAGTTTGCTTAAAGCAGCAGTTTTGTTGGTTAGCAGCTATCTTAAAGTGCTAAAAGCAAACCACTCCTCCCAAAATTATTTTTCTGTATTCTAAATACGCTATCGCTTATGAAGTGCAGAATTATTGGGCAGTGTGTAATCCTACTGTCTTGCATTCTGGGAATGGTGATAATGGTTTCTTTGGGATATACCCAAATATTCCTGCTACTTTATAAGGTTTCTGGATCAGATGCTCCAGTCTGTTAAGATACTTCATGTCTCAGCAAAGCAAAATGCTTGAAGTTGGATGGAGAATCTCCCTTTCTCAGGGAAACTCATCCCCGGCATAAGAGTAAAAAGGAAGACCCCAAACCCCCTCAATCTGGATTTAAAGCACTGGTACAGTTGCCCTCAGCAACTGTCTGCATGGGGTGAGGGAAGGGAATGTACGTGACAAAAATTATATAACAAGTGAAAGTCCATGGGAGACCCTGCAGGCAGCAGAGTGAAACTTAGCTGCTCCCCCTGCTGACCTGCAGGCACGAGAAGCTCAGCTTGCTCCT